CAGAACGAGACAACACGGGAAGACTTCGATATATCGGAAGCCCTAGAAGAAGAGCTGGAGTCATTGTACTCTGAGATTGGCATCCTTGCAGAATTGTCTACTAGACAACAACTTGTCGATCCCATACATCGCGAAATCCAATCACATCACGGTGCGCTATGTGCTTTCTCGAATCAGAAATTGCACCTTGTAGGTCACTCGTCGAAAAATTGGGCGCAACTGCTGATTATCTTTGCAGCTCGGAGGCATTCTTTCGCAGATGGTACTGACTACGAGAGACTGTACTAGGAAATTACAGGAGCAGGACTCGTCTTGCGGGACACTTGAAGCCTTTACTGCTGCATATAAGACTGAAATAGGCGAGCTGCTTCTGGTCTCATCTGCTTCAAAGCGGAGGACATCGAAGACTCAAGTCGCACGCGCAGCGTCTCTACATACTCCTTCGGGAAGCCATTGTGTCCCGCTCTTCGAGATCCAAGCTCTCGCAGGTTTGATACGCAGAGTGGGGTTGACCATGGACAACTTATTATGCGGAGCAAGAGGCGGGCCCTTGAAATTTATGCAGAAAAAGAGACGCAATCTGGTAGAGTCTTCCAAAGGTTATGGCTTGGCTGCAGATTCGCCACTGAAAGCGGCCTTGTTTCCTACCGATTCGGCAATCCAATCTCTTCTGCCTGGTCTGCAAACCAGTTCGAGTTTCAAGGCGTCACTTTCCAATGCTGACCATAAGCTCCTGCTTTCTGAACTTGAAGCTGAACTAGAACTTGTTCAGGAAAGGGAGAAGAGACTGAAGCCTGGTTTGCTTTCTAGACGCGATTCATGCCTGGAAAATTTCTTAAAGAGATGGGACGGACAGGTATCTCATGTCTAAGACATGATTCTGATACAAAATGTGATAAAGAACTTTTTTTCTTGCATATGTACGAGTCTTATTGAACTGTCCATGAGCGGGTGAAGCTCCAGATTAGTATGAAGACTAGTGTTGCTCTCGTGGCTCTCGTCATAATCCCTAAGCTCGACAATTGATGAGCGAAATAGAATGAGAACCCGAATGTTTCAAGATTGTTTGCATCGTAGAGAATGACTGTCAATCTAACCAGCATTCTCTTTCTGCGAGTCCCGAGCAATTTGGGGTTAACTAGATGCCATCCCTACGAGGTGTTCGGCAACCAAAGTGGAAGGGGGGTTGGGTGCACGAAACCGGACGAACTAATGTCCGGTCCAGTCTCATATTGAGCAAGTCTGCCAGATTCAGCATTTGTTTATGTTTTGGATGGATTGCCGCGCAAAGAGGACGATTGATCGTACATATTTCCTCGGCTTCTATCTGGTCTTTCAAGCTGTCGTTGACTTTTCCATTGACATGCAGTTTCCGTGAAACGGCCCTTCCACCAAAATCGATCAGAAGTTGACCGAGACGTCGACTGCGCCTGCAGCAGTTAGCATATGTTCCTCAACGTTGTTACTGACTGAAGGACTCGCCTTTTCCTTTACACAAACCCATCATACCTCTCTTGCTTCCAGACATAATCTATACTCGGGTTCAACAATCATTTGATGTGGTTCGACTAGTATATTTATTGCTGGACTCAGTCATACCATGCCATCCCTATCTGAGAGGTTCATCTTCGCCTGTAGGTTTAAGGCCGCTCTACATACTACCACGCTTGTTTCTGCATTTCCATGCAGCACTTCACAATGAATCATCCAAGAAGTGATTGTGAAAGGGTTAAAAGTCTACCTGCTATTACAACCTTAGCAGAGATTTCCGATCGGTGTGGTCTACACGCTGGCACTGGGCACGACTCGAAGGCTTGGCTTGCAGCCGATGTTTTCCGAATCTCTCCGAGCACTGCACTGAGGTTATTGTGCTCTAGCATCGAAATCCTCTTGAAATCATCCTCGGAAGATCCACAATGTTCTCAGATACTCGCCGCACCTCCCGGTGTTCGGACACCCGGTGACAACATCTCTAGTGGCGAGACCACGCCCATTAGAGCTTCCGAATTGCATTGCTTTCGAGCCAATGATGGAAAATTGGGACACGACCTTGTTCAACAGAGCGTGCTTTCCAAGAGATTTCTTTCGAAGCGGGTGCCGCCGATCACTCTGAAAGATTACCTACTACGGCTTCACCAATATTGCCCCATGTCCACAGGCGTTTATCTGGCTACGAGCATGTATATCACCAGAATGGTTAATACTGAGAAAGTGATACAAGTCAATGGAAGGAATATGCACCGTCTAGTTCTTGCGGGGCTTCGAGTTGCAATGAAAACTCTGGAAGACCTAAGTTATCCACATAGTCGGGTTGCTAAGGTTGGCGGAGTGACCGAACGTGAGCTGTCGAAACTCGAAGTCAGTTTCTGTTTTTTGGCAGATTTCGATCTACGGGTTGATGTGCATATGTTATCCGAGCAGGCAAGGCTATTTCAAGCCGGGTTAGATCTTACTGGCGACAATTCCTCCGAAGCAGTTGAGGGCTTCTCATGCCAAGAGTGAGGGCATATTGACTGCTCTCCTTGTTATGACTTACGCTGTGCTTGTCATGAAGGAACGACGTACGTTTGCTCACCATCTCGGAGGATGATTTTGCTTTTTTTTTTTTTGAATTGATACCCAGCGATGATGGTTCATGATATTGCTTGATGGTAATCAATTTCCACCGACTGTTGGGTGACGACCTTCGATGGTAAATCAGTGGGTATGAATAGTTGATTCAATTGAAGGCGATGGCATGGGGAAAACTACAACAACTTATTTTGATCGCAACCTTGAATGCGGCTGCCTAGCCTAACCACAATTCAATTGACTGGTTGGCTAACTGTTTAGTCACTTAGTGGATTAGGTAGTTAACTAGTGATATGCCTACCTAAGTCATAGCTGAGGACGGAAGGCACAGAATCTTGGATGGTGGCATCGTATAGATGCTATGTGCATACGCCGATATATTATTTGGATTTTTACTATCTCGATAGATTAGTGTGGAAGCATTGATTTTGAATTTGCCCAATGTCGAGAGATTCACCATGTTCAACAATAGTGGAGTGGAGGGAACTCTCAATGCCGCCATCCGACCATTTAGAACCATATTATTAATGAGTGGCTGAGTATCATCATCCCTGGCCCCAGGCCCCCAGGCAGCTGGTGAGCCCTGCCCCCAGCCCGACCGCGAGCGCATCTCCCACCGTTCTACAACTCCGCCATACAACAGAGGTGTTCTTTCCGGGCCCCGTTCGTCCCGGTCGCTTTCTCCATTTTAATTTTTGATATTCTTCCTGCATTATCATCGCCTTCAGAGACAGCCATTGCGATTTGAAAGGCACGTTTGTGTTGTTGACCTCTTCTTTTTTCAATAAATCATCCGTCACTGGATCTACGCTATGCTTCGTTAGATGTGTCGAGAATACTTTCCCAGCTAGTCAATCTTCAGAAACGACTTTACTCTCTCCGTTTCGCAAATTGTCCTGCCATTCTCTTTCTTCTTCCGCCGTAATTCAAGGCTATATTACTTCGTCTTGCAACCGCAGAAATTGTGTTACATTCGAAATGTCGTCAGGGACTTCCTCAACTGGACCGCAGAATAACCGCGACTCTGTGGGACTGGGCAGTCCACCGTCCTTGCCCAGCGGCAAGAGCAGTACCTCCCCTCCAAAAGTGGTTCAACATGAGGCGACCGTCGAACTCCAGAGCATGAAGACAGAGCGGACCAATATAAAGGGTGCGATTCGACTTGGCGAGGACATTATGCAGATTGCTCGCATCGGAGAGATCTCAGTCATGCAGAAATTATTTGATGAGAAAAAATTCACAGCTGACTACAAGGATGAGGAAGGAATTACCCCATTACATGTATGTTTTATATGGCTCAAGAATGTGGTCCAAATCCCACGTCGCGCAGTTCCTACTGCCTAATCCTCATTGCGTCATAATTTGCTGACCGACACTGTCTTTTCACATCAGTGGGCTGCTATCAACAATCAATATGCTATGTGCAAATTCCTTCTCGATTCTGGTGCCGATGTCAATGCCAAGGGGGGAGAATCGGTAGCTACTCCGGCTATGTGGGCAGCGCAACGTTGCCACTATTATATCGTACACCTCTTACTACAGCATGGCGCAGATCCTCTTCTTACCGATGTCCAAGGCTACAATATTCTACATCTTGCCACAATCGATGGAAACGCATTCCTGCTTGTGCTTCTCCTACACCAAGAAATACCGGTGGATGTTCCCGACCAACAAGGCCACACAGGTCTAATGTGGGCGGCGTATAAAGGTTACCCTGCATGTGTGGATATCTACTTGCGCTGGGGTGCCAACGCCAATGCGGTTGATGATGGCGGTCTAACCCCTCTGCATTGGGCCTTGGTCAAGGGATCTCTTCCTTGCGTCCATAAGCTCATAGAGTATGGTGCAGATAGGTTCGCGAACACCAGGGATGGTAAAACGCCAGCGACCGTAGCTAGTGAGATGAATACGACCCGGATATGGTATCGCGCACTAGATGAATGTGGTTATGACTTCGACGGAAATACCAAAATCCTGCCTATGGGCCTGACGCCCTGGGTGCGGAGTAAGAAGGCCATGTCGAGATTTTTCTTCATGTGGCCTTTTTTTATGCTATTTACAGCTGTCTGGATTCTCAGCAATGTGGTTGTGTTTTTCGCTGTTCCGCTCATGCTGCTTACGGTCTATGGTCTTCAATGGATGGCTCAAAAAGTCGCTAATCAAGGCCCTTCGGAGTATCGAATCCTCCAAAAGACGGTAAGTAAGCATCGATCGTGCCCCAGTCCTTGTCATGTAGTAGCGCTGATGTTGAAATAAGCCTTACCTGTCTGGGGTATTTGCAGGCTCTCTTTTCTGGGTGGGTTTTAGATACGCCTTCTACTTGCTACCTGGTAAGTGATTCTTATCTGCCATTCCCCCAGGCCGCCTTGTCTATCTCTAAGGCGTGATCCGCGCATTGAGAGGGGTGAAGGACTATTCGAACTGACCAGCCCACGCTTAGCGACGTTTTCCTCATCACCGATTTCCAACATCTCCTTCACTGTGTTCTTTTCTCTGACGGCATATTTCTATTTCTGTGCAATGACCGAAGATCCAGGTTTCGTTCCGAAGATGAACAGCAGGAATTCACAACGAGCTGTAGTCACCGAACTATTCGAGCAGTGGAAATTTGACGAAGAGAATTTCTGCGTCTCGTGTATGGTTCGAAAGCCTTTGCGAAGCAAGCATTGTAAGCGCTGTGGGCGATGCGTCGCAAAGCATGATCAGTGAGGTTCCCGCCACTCGTCAGAAAAGCGTCCACTAACCCCAAGTAGTCATTGTCCATGGATCGACAACTGTGTTGGCGCGAACAATCTGCGGCACTTCGTCTCGTATATTGTTTGCTTAGAAATCGGTATCATCTTGTTCTTGCGCCTGACATTCAGTTGTAAGTTGTTCATGGTCAAACTGAAGGGAAGCGCAAAGCGGCGTGATTCAGCTGACGAAATTCAAGATATCAACGTTCTTCCAGCTCCTGTGAATCCACAGTGCAATGTCATAAATGATGCATTGTGTGATCTTCTACTCCGTGATACATTTACCCTAGTCCTCGATATATGGGTGGTCATTCAGCTGGTCTGGATAACTATGCTCTGTGCTGTTCAGCTTGTCCAAATCTCCCGAAACCAGACGACTTACGAAAACATGAGGGGCCATTCGATTGATCGGAGTTATCCCAGCTCACGAGCATTCGCCTCGGCTGTGACAGCAGGTACGACATCATTAGATGCAGCCGGCCTCTCTTCGGCCGGTCAAGGTCCCAACCCGGCTCTAGCGCAAAATGTTTCACATAGGCATCAAAGGAATGGCTGCCTGCAACAATGGTCCTCTCTTCTGGGAATCGATACATTCTTTGCAACAGCCCGGGACGGGTTACGGGACGGCCCACGCACTGCCCGGCCAAAGAATCCCTTTTCCCGTGGCATTGTTGGTAACTGTCAGGATTTCTGGTGCGACCCTGCTCCCTACTTCGGACGACGAGAGCCAGGTTCTGCCATGCTCGGTGGTGAAGTTATCAATTACAACCGAATGTATGAGGTTCCATTGCGTATGCACAGCGGCGGAAACTATCGTAGCCTGGCTGACAATGACCTGGAGCAAAATGCTTAAACTATCTTGCTCTCTTAACGACTTCAGAGCCGTTGAATCAGAAACCAGACACTATGATAGTCTCATACTCGGGGGGGGGGATTGGTTGTTGCAGATTATCGTCGCATGAATGAACCTCTTATGATTGGCAATTGTTACCTGTTCTCAGTTCGTCACTGTCTTCATGTATTATATTTTACATATTCGAAATATATTATAGTAGATAGTCACTGATGGCCTTGGCATATGGGGATTGTAGGATATCCGAGTTCATGACCTGCACTTGCCATAGTCTACACATGGAACAGGGGCGATGAGCAACTATGACACATTTTACAAGCTGTCATTCTTACTACTGATTGGAGTAGCACTTTCACTGGATGACTGTAGTCCCAAGCGGTGACTCCTCCAAAAGACGTAAACAGTAAACACTCCCGAGGCCATGACTGTTTGCGAGCACTGTACCTTGAATCTGCCGAAACTGCGATTGATGGATCTCTCATAATCATATATACAACAGTGCGATGACGAAGGGTCAAAGCCACAAAGGGGGGGCTTAATTTCAGCGCAGGGATGATAAATAAAGCTGCAGAGATCTCTCGAAGCCGAATAGGGACCGGGTGTATATATAGTATGCACAAGTGGAACCTCAAGTATGCTTTCTTGTAAAGTACATAATTCTTTTTTTTGCCCGTACAGCATCATGTCCTGTAAATACACCGTCAATACAAGACGTAACAAGCATACCGCAGTAATATACACAGTAAAAGATCCGATGTCGCAGAAATCCAAAAGCCTACAATCATGCTAAGATCTTATCTCGGCAGGCACCATCGACTACTACTCGTAGATGAGTAGTCTAGGAAGTAGGCACTGAATAAGACAAGTGGAGGTACATACATGCAGGCTACACCACCACTTCCCTTCACTCCATGTAATCGTGTTGGTTGTCTCTCTTTTTCTAGACCTCTACTTCTTTTTCCTCAAGTGCGTATAGTCACGCTTGTGCTCTAGGTGATTAAGAAACAAGTCAATCATGACCATTGCTTCACGTAATTGCCGATTACTAGTGTGTTTTGATAAGTAAGTGGAGAATTTGCATGTGGATGGTCCTTTCTGTGGTGTAATGTTACAGAGTGGCTGTAGTGCACCTACAATTACACCTGTGCCTGAGTATGTTGTTTCTATCAGGTAGGTAATGAACATGGAATGACTTTGTGCCTATGTGGGCTGGACCGCTGCATCTGTACTAATCTTACCAACCCAAGATCAATATTTCCCAATGGTTCAAAGGCGGAGGAGGAGAGGGAGAAGAGGGAGAAGAGGGAAGGAGGGAGGCGGAAGGTGGTGTTAGAAGAGCTACTGATTGATTAGGGCAAAGAGACATCTATACTATTTCACGCAGTGTGTACTACATAATACAGCTAAACCCTGCAATTTTGACTCAAAGTGGAGAGTGGCAGTTTTGGCCGGCGAGCAACACCGCTGATCACGGTCTTTGTGATATAATGATACAGTACAGTACATATCGTTCATATATACCTTCCAAGGCTACCAATATACACCAGGAACACGTGGGAATTTTCCACAGATAGACTTCGAGCTAAGCTAGCTCTCTTGCTGCGAAGGGAACATCCATGAATGCCGACATCTTAGTATGGAGACTATGGATCGGTAGGCAAGGGACGGAATCGAGCGTTGGGAACACCTCCGACCGACCCCTCACTTGAGGTATGAGTAGCTAGCTAGACTTAATATTCAAAGAGAGGATTATGCAACGTAGCACAACGTGCAATACATAGCAAACAACGACTGGGTCCAGACCGAAGCAGAGTCTGCAGGTGTGTGGCTGGATGGATCAAGCCCTAGCGAGAGGTTCGAGACAAAAATGCCCGTATAGCGAGCGCTTGACGGCATGATTGCATGTTATATATGTATCAATACGCCCAAGAGAGAATACCAATATCCATATAGTATGCTCGGTACATTATACGGGAGAGGATGGATGGGTCGTCGAAGATAACTAGTACGGTGAGTAGCACCAAAAGCACAGCATAAGGAATAATTTGACTAGCGGCACTTGCACCAAAATTATTCTCGCCAATTGATCAAGGGTTGCCCAGTTCTATTACTACTACTATGTACGTACAGTATATTGTCACGACGAAGGACACCCCCGGGAACGAAAGAGATCCTACAGACCTAGCTCAGTGGAGACTATCTACTTGCTGTCCTATGGTCTGACTGACTGAGGCGCTATCCGAGCCGGGCAGCAGAAAGTACTTTTTCCTTTCAATCCCTTGTCTTTTTGTTAGGGCCTTGGTATTGTGGGCACCGCATGGGCTGGGAGTGGGGCGCCTGGATTTTCATCAACAGTCCACCCTTCCCTCCCGACCCCCTCAGAGAGTCGCTGGCCCATGACCAGTCATGAAGCAGAATCGGCATTCTGGGTAGATATGTACTAAGGCGACTATGATTCTTTATAAACTCACTCGTTTTCTTCTTTTTTTTTTTTTCCTCTTTGAGAAAGGCTCCGAGCAAAGCTATCAGAAGCCAACAACGGGTCAGAAGCACCCGATTGTGAGAGAAGGTGTGGGTCTTGGGAACATGGTCTCATCTAATCAATCAGCGGAAATCAGTGAGTGGGCCGTAATGCTCCCTCGCGTATACGGCTAGGTTGCTACTCCCGGTCTGTAGGTATGGTACGTACTGTACGTAGTACGAAGGTATTTTGAGCCTTTGTAAAGCAACCTCTTCCGTGTCCCCGTCCCGTCAGTACGAATGAGCCAACCTCAAAGGAAGGACAAGCAGTCCTAAACAGTCTAGGAAATGATACTTACCCATCGATTTTGAGAAGCCACCCTTGAAATGCAGGCTCTAAAACATGGGTATCCCTTGCAGGCTTGCACTTTCAGGTCTCAAAATCACCCCGGGCCGAACTGTGAGTGAATTACGGTTGTTGCAAGATGGCGCCATCAGATAACAAGAAGAAAATTTTTATCTGATCAGATTATCGGGAGGGATCCCGACATTTTCCCCCCCTGTCCCCTCCCCCTCCCCTTTAACCTTGGTAGAGGATGCGCCTCGGATTCCTAAGGGCGAGAACGGACGGACGGACAACGGTGATATTAGATAACATAATTTGGAGTTCTCTCCCCCTTTTCTCCACCCCTTCCAACCGGAATTGCTTTCCTTTCATGTTACCATTTTCTGCTTGTGCACCGTAACTAAATCCTTACCTTGGTGTAGCCCATGAACTTATCCGTTGAAGGCCAATCAGCTCCGGTCACTTGACGTCAGTGGGGCTGTTCAGTACCAAAGCCGGCCTCAGACCCGTTGCTTTCTTCTTTCTCCCCCCAAAAAACCACTCAAGAGCACATGATTTGAACTCCTCTCGGTTACTCGTACGTAGGGCAGCTACATTGTCGCTTCAATCAGAAAGTATTAATTCGAGCAACAATGTATCTCAATCTCTATGCAACATGCTACGTACCTTGAATTTCTCAGTATCAAAGATGAAATGTGTATGGTATATTTGATATGAGGGAACGATCATAACCGACCAATATATTGTTTACAGTCAAGGTAAATCCTGAAGCAAGCGTTTCTTTTTCCTGTTCTCACCCGCCCCTCTATTTTTCACCTCTTCTCTTCCGATCATTCAAGTATTATTCCTAGGCATCAGTAAGTTACGTCGACGAAGCAGACCTGCGGATGCCTCCCTGGGTCAGATTCCTGTATTATAGCATGGCGCGCAATCTGGTGGCCGGCACCGTCGCACCCGCGAGCTGTTCACCAAAAATTGATTCCACCATCTCTCCGCCTCGAGCGGCCAATACGGACAGAAGACTGTCGCTCAGGCCATGTGTCTTCTCATTGCAGCCCTGAAGCCAAATACCTGCATGGGCGCTAACTTTGCTGGTGTCCATATCGACCCGATAATCCCGAGCCGGGGTCCACACTTCCTGCCCCGCCGGTCGCAGGTGCTGTACGTTCTTCAAAAGCTGCTCGTGTGCATTGCGGTTGTAACCCGTTGCCACCATGAGGGCATCCACCTCCAATGTCTCCTTGCCATCTCCAACCAGGCTGTCCGCGCCATCCTTAGCGGCTCGAACGTGGATGCGCATCCGACTTTGGGGTCCATGATGTTCGACTCGGGTGACTTTACGGCCAGGTAGAATGCGGTGTTGCCACTGAGTCTCGTCGGGGTTCTGGATTCGCTGGGTATACATGTCGTCGAAAATCTGCTCGATGAGCTCAAGCCGCACCACACTATAATTGGTGGCCTTGTCAGCCTTGAGGGAACGCTGACGTTCATTCGCAGAAAGATTGTAGAATTTCTCGATTCTCTCGGGATTGAAGAGTTCATTGACGCTAAACCTTTGAGTCAGCTCACGGGGCCAGAAGGTTGGGGGAGGAGGTGGTATGAGGTGTTGCGCTTACAATGGGGAATCATCGCTGGGTCGCATGGCGGTATCCCGCATAATCAGGGTAGTCTTAGAGTTAGGATAACGCTTCTGAATATCGTGGAAGATTTCCGCAGCACTCTGGCCGCTTCCAAGAACGGCAACGTTATAAGGTTTGCGCTCGTCGCTGAGTAGAGCGGGTAGATTGGTGCAGTACTGGGATGAATGCAGGATCCGGGGGTCTTGAGGAAGGCCCGGGGGCATCTTTGGACTGCCACCAAGCGCGACCACGACCTTCCGTGCCGTTCTGGAGGAGATTTCTCCAGTTTCGACATTGCGGGAGCGGACAGTGAAAAAGTCAACCACCGAGCCTGTAGGATCGGTTTTGCCCGGAACTACATCAATCACCTCTTCTCCATAAGAGACCACCTCGGAGAATCGTTGCGCACACCACCGCATATAATCCTCAAACTCCAGGCGAGCTGGAGTGAACGTGCCCAGATTTGTGAAGTGGATCAACCGCTCCTTCTGGTGAAGGTAGTTGAGAAAGGTAAAACTGCTGCGGGGATCACGGAGGGTGGCCAGGTCTTTGATGAAAGAAATTTGCATTTTCGATCCGGGCAGCAACATGCCCGGGTGCCAGGCGAATTGCTTCTGACGCTCCAGGAAGCAGACTCTAGGTTGCCAGCCGGAACTGGAGGTGGGCTTGTTCAAACATGGGTCCAGGGCATCGTTCAGGGCAATTGCGATTGCGAGAGATGCAGGACCGAACCCCACACAAAGCAAATCGTGCAGCTCGTCCTGGGGGCTTGCTCGGAGACGAGATGGCTCCCGCTGTTGCTTGACAGTCATGTCGCGGTGGCTCTGGAAGCTCACTTCAGGCTTCCGGACAATAGATTCCATTGGAGTTAGTTATGCTAGACAAGATGTGGCAAGAGGGAGTAGCTGGCAAGAAATAAATCAAAAGCTCGGTGTTCCAAGATTGGGTAAGGGAACGTGAGCATAAATCACCGTGAGCGGGTTTTTGGAAAGAGAAGAAGGTAGTGATAGGGAAGAGATAGGAAGAGAGAGAGAGAAAGAAAGAGAGGGAAGAAATCGCGGTAGGTTACGGGCGAGGGGTCGTAGGTAGTTATATGCACCGGTGGATTAATCGATGGGGGCAATAGAGAGAAAGAATGGAGTCAGGCGCGCCAAAAATGGAATACAAAATAATCGAAGCGGATAAATTATCACGGTCCATGATCCATATGGAGTCGGAGAAAATAACAAAATCGATCTGATAATCTACGAATGAAAAAAATCGGTGGAAGTTAAATACCGAATACGTACTGTAAAGGTGTCAGGTCAAGGCTGGTTTCCTGAGGAGCCCAAGATGGATAAGATTATTTTCTGAAGTGACGGATCCTGCTTAAGGCTATGAGACGTTTTAGTTTTTTGCAGGTCGGAATCCCGAGTGGTTCGATCAATTCTTTCTTTTCCTTCCTTTCCTCTCTCGCCTCCCCCCTCTTCTTTTTTTTCGTTTCAATATCCCTTCTAATTATTGTTAATTTCATTGTCTGTAGACGCAGCTGTATCTGACTCAAAATTCTCTCGACTTTGAATATACATTACCTCATCTCCTACTTGCCTTTTCAGCGCACCAGCATAACTCGGCTGGCCATGCTTTGACAGCGGGCCAGGAATAGCATAGTAAATGAATGGATGAGTGGACATATGGTCCCACTAGCCCAAGAAACGTGGTAAGAGCAAGGTACTGGCTATCATACTGACTGTACTTAAGTACCGAAACTACGGAATGATACACCAAGTGGGAGGAGTGGGTGAAGAGTCCGACCCGAGTGTGCCCCGCAGTCCGTTCGTTCGGTGTAGAATCCTGGAAGTGGAAAGTGGAATTGAAGTCTACGGTGTGATGGACGCTTAGATTAGATCCGCAGTCGCCCGATGTCGGAAAATTGGACTAGCCCCCGACGGAGCTGTACGTACTGTACATACACGTGTATTTGTTATATCTGTATTTGTATGGTCATTATTCTTCCAGTACAATACACACAATACATCCATCCTTCTTCATTTCTAACCTAACAAGAAAGAACCCTTACTAAATGCATAGGTAAAGTAAGTATATCCCACTTGCTTGGTGCAGTGGGAAGAGCCTTCAAGCACAAGCATAGTAGTCTTAAACTTTGATAGGAAAGCTTGCCAGCACACGGTCACGAGAGACTTACTTCATCTGCACGCTCCTACTCATAGAATGTATGCTGCCTCAAGCACTTGTGGAAGGGTCAACGGCCGCCCGGGAGCTTCAGGCGTTGGGATCAACTTGGAACTTTACACCTTTAAACTAACGCAGAAGGAACCCTCAGTCAGAGCCAATGGTTAAGCAGTCTCACCCTAATCACCAACCTGTCTCATGGCCACATGTGTGAACCAATACCTCGTTCTAACATAATTCGCCTTTTGAATGGATGTCGATGAGGTGCCTATGCCTTCCATGGGCCTAGGTGCTGGACCATTGACATTTGCATCGCGCTAACCCCTGCTTAATATTGGTTGGGACAGCTCAAAGTATAACAGCTAGCTTACCTAGTACATTAAGTGACGGTCATTGATCGGCGAGTCTCTGTTTTGAGGGCGACAATGGTGTGACTTTCTACAATAATCAGTCAGTTGGAAGTGATTCTTACTGGAGGGCGGCTCCAACCCCACCTTCACTAATGTAGATTAAGCACGGTCTTGGAAGAAAGTTACACCACAGCCTTGAAGGCACCTACTACCTTACCCCTCACTAACCCTCCTCCGGGCTGTTCTTGTTTGATTATGAATGCCTTTGTTCTAGTTGGTTGAACTTTGATTGAATACAGTCAGGATTCCCAGTGTATAGTTACTGTAATAGATGCAAGTGACTTTATACAACAGGCTTATAAAGGCGTTCACCTCAATATGACCGCCAACAAGATACTTAGCCACGTTATTACCCTAGACTGTTCCTTCAGAGGCTTCTGTATCCTATCACAGCATTTCTCTGCTTATACCACGGGACTGTAGTAGGTGATGCAATAGTTTCAAGACAACATTGGCGCCAACAACATAGACAGATTCCAGGGCTCATAGGTGCCGTAAGAAGACTGTGAACTCAGATACTTTGAAACAACATGACGTACCTGAGATCCTTCGTCTGTACAAGAATACTATAGATAAGTAATGTACATATCTTGAATAAATAGCTGATCAAAAAGGGGTTCTCCATCAGTAGTACTTCTGCTAGCCATATCACTCAAATAGTAACAAGCGATTGCCAGCATGTGAGCACAGGCCTTGTTATGCCAGGCTAACTACCTCTAATCTTAACATTGCTGACCCGTCTCACATCCTAGGTATTGCGATTCTATCCATTACCTATGGACTGGATAGATTCTGTAGAGCAACAGTCTCCACTTACTGTCTGATATATATAGTACTAGTGTACTTTGGCAATACCCCCCTGAAGTATGGCTTGAAAACTGAGCGCATGCTCACGGTGCCTCTAGCAACAATGATACCTAGAACCGTTACATATCTTCTGGTAGAGATTGAGTATCAAAAAGCAAACGAGGTCCGAGCAGCCAGAATCAACAGTAAAATACTTCCGTCTTAATCCACGAAAAGATTTCCCGTCAAATGAGTATACGGCAACTTCCTGGAACCCAAGCAGATTATTTTCAGAGGTGGAGTATATGCTCGCCCAAGGAGCAGCGTCCCTGATGATTGGGAAAGTAGACTTTCCTTGCCATGATCTGATAAGCCGAATGCCGCATGATTAAAAGCAAAAATGACAGGACCTCTGTAGCTTTGTCTCACGAGAACTTATATTGGTGGTCCAAAATTTGTTCAAATTGCCACCAGACCTTTACTCCTGGCCAGAGCTCGAATTCTGGCTTTGTCTCTTGATAATCAGCATCATTTAGATGACCTAGCTGTGGGGGTCTTTGCTGCACCTTCGTAGACAGCCAATACGATTTGATGTCCAGTAGCAAAGCAGGTGAGAACTTGTCCAGTGTCAAGGGTCCACTTCCTCCTGGGTAGATAGAGAGTCGTGGGCAGACTCCTGTCGATAGGCTGGTGTCATCTCTAAGAATCAAATCAATTGCGGTACACATATCTAATATCATGTTATCGACAAGTCCACCTCAGGAGCCAAGGAGCTAAACATCTTGAATCATGCTGTAACTCAACACCCAGCTGTAAGCGACCTTCTCAAGTAGATAGTCTTCTGAGACTGGTACAGTGATAGGAGCACTATATGCGACTATCATACATCCTGGCCACGCATGCTGTTACTTCTGATCTAAATTCAGCAGTCCTATCACTTTGTACATGGGTCAGACAGACATACCGCAAGCACAGAGCAGTATGATTGATGGTAGAGATTGCTAGCCAGTGATCCTCCTAGGTAGCTGTAAAGGTAAGGTATGACAATCAGAAATCAATTAAATCTCAACTTATACTAGGCCTCTCACCTGATTAGGTTCTTCAGCAAATGTTTCACAAGCAGTCGATCATTTTTGAGGAAGCGATTACAGTATGTTAGATCCTCTGAATGTTTCTCTTCCAGGATGACCTTGTATCAGAAGCGAAACTTCCAGCGGCAGCAGGGACAGTGACAAAGCATGACTAACACTTAGTAAGTTAGTTTAAGAAGCACTAAGCATAATACTATAGTCATATATCGCAAATCTTGGAAGGTATAGAATTCTTGTTTGCTGTCTCGTGCAGGTTGGACAGGATGGTGTGATATACTTTATCATCAATAAACCAACGCTCGATAAGTTTGCCAGATATGTGATTCTAAGATTTTGCTAGAAGTGGTTAATGAATAAGCTTCAAGTAAAGAGGGCTAGAATAGAAGATAATAAGACAGCCCAGTGTCTGAAACAGAGGAAATAACAAAGCCTTAAGGAGACCCTGTCTGTAACAAGTATCACTCAGTTATCTTGTGCATGCTATAGTTGACGGCCCACTAGCTAGAACCCATTCCTCTCACCACAGCGAAGTATTAACAGAGAGACCGTTAATTAGCTACGAACTATATAATATGCAGAGTCGGAGTCTTGCAACATCATGCCCAACAACAAGTCCTATAGTGCTACAATTCTTAAACCACATAATAGCGATTATCTGCCTACGCACGTAACTAGAGGAAGCCGCTAATATTCACAAGCATACATTGAGCTGATGGATTTTTAGAAGGTGCTGCACTTAAGCAGGCTAGCCAAGTATTCTATTATATACTTAAAAGATACTTGACCGATTGCTAAAACAAGTACCCATACAGTCCCTTTAAGTCAACACCTGCTGCAGCAGTGCGTTTTGAATAAGCTAGCTTGATCAGAAGGCTGCCTTGCAGTACCTTGCGTACTGGCGAACCTCCGGGCAGGCTATTGTGATAATGACAGAAATTCGATATCTTTGTTTCACTTAACTTATATACTAAGCGCCATATGGTACAAAAGCTATCTGAAGTCTTTTCTTGCGCAATTTTGATCTCGGCAGATAGGATGGCATCAAAGCAACGATAACATATGAAGCTAACAATTTTGATAATAACTCGTCCGTCCGGATTTCGAGGGAGGGCAAAGATAAGCCAGGCAGATTTAGTAATACCAATCATAGTTGAACTCTAACTGCATCTAGATAGCAGTAGTCTATTACCACTGGGCTACCACGTTCAATAGCGCAGTTTGACAACGATTTTGAGGCTTCAGAGGGGAAGTGCTGGGACGTGTTTAATATGTTCTTGCGGTTGTCACTAGCTACGTTCCCGCATGTAAACAAGATAATAAGGCCATTGGAATCACGTGGCCGGATTACTTAGCAACGCTGACACAGTTACTTCATATCTGCTCGGTAGCTTGCATATATATATACCATAGATGACGACTGCCACAAACAACTTAGCCACACAACAATTTAGCTTGTAAAGATCAACGCCCCGAAAGCTTGTCTCAGTACATACTGTATCTAAATTTCACTTCAACTTAACTTGTTCTGTGCCTTGGTGACAGGACGACTCAAAATCCCTTAGGTCCTCACCTCCTGGTTACGTGTCTCATGTTTAACACCTGGGAGGTCGCATTGATCCCGTCCGCTTGCTGCGCAATAAATGTGCAACATACAAAACGAAGTGCAGCAGTTACTCAGTCCGAGAATCTGGTCCGAGTGAGCTAGAAGCCATCATCGTGATAGCCAGGTCTGATTCATTGAATATAACAACCACCTAACCAGGAAGTGCCCCAAATCAAAGGCTCTGCATACCTATTCAGTATAAGGAGGAAGATCGTATATAAGAACATATAGTCAAAGGCCGTTCATTCACGAGGCTGCCACATCAAACAAATAGCCTTTCTAGCCAACGCGAAATATATGGCTGTGGAAGTATTTCTTCTCATCTCGGGCCCAAGCTTTTGAACGCACATACACGTACAAGCTTCTCCAGGCATAGTAGTACTTCTCAAGTCAGGCCGAACAGGGTTTCTCTCTTAAACTAAAAGTCGATTATGTAAATAAGTTCAAGTAACTTATCTTGGAAAAACAACGTGATCATTTGAATACCGGTATAATATGAACATCGGAGGATCGAGTTGTAGCTTGTTGCTTGCCAATCATAGCTATACCATTTTTGCAAACGTATCCTAAGGTGTCCTTGAACAAACTGACAACATGGAAGAGGTCTCCCTCACCTAAAAACGCGCAAAGTTAGAAGAAGTAGCCCAATCAGGTAGACTGGTTTACCCCGGCAAGCCGGAAGTCTGTAATGCTTTGATAAAAGTCCCGGATGCAGCTAGCATGGACAGGTGACAGGTAGCTGAAAGAAGGTTGAGAAGCTCACCACAAGGCCACAAAAGCCCCTCAAGTATGCGCAGCTGAATCAGACTAAGTGGGCAAGGCAGACGCATCAGTAGAGTCGCAGGCATCCTCACCTACCTGACAAGGCCATTATTGAGACTTTCAGACAAGGTCTAACCTAGGTTAAAATGAAAAGAATGTCGACTGCGGAACTGGCATGGGTATATGGGAACAGATCTAGAATCTGCGGGCCTTGGCCGGGAATCTTCCGTGAGGACCGACTTAAAACAACCACCACAGTACTAGCGAAGGCAAATGTGGTAAGCGGTTCATGCAGTGGGGTGGGAAAACAACCCGAGGCAAGATATTACTGCGTAGAATTCAAGTGTTTGGACCCAGAGCAAAAAGTCTTGGATCGACCGGGCGCCGCCATGACCAAGGAAAAATGACGGTAGATGTCTGCCAAGAGATGGCTAGCCCCATAAGGTGTAAACGTGAAGAAAGGGAAAGGGAACAGGAAGGAAGAAAGCCTGAAATTGCTCGACCCTAAAGGTGCGGTGTAAGGGAGAGGAGGAGTGGGGAGTAGGATAAGCTGAGGCGGCCGGGGCACCAAGGGATGATTAATTGCCAATGCCTGCAGTGCAGTATTCATCAGACTACTCCGTACCTTACTATTTTTGAGTTTACCGAAAGTTGTGAGTAGGTACGTACACAGTAGTAAGTTGGTTGATTATTTGTGCCTGAGGCCATAAAGCTGTACTCTCCAATAGATTGATTGAATCAAGGGTGAAGGCCCATAGCCCCCTCTACGATCGGCTCAATTATTGCCTGAAAATTTGAGAACTCAGGTTTGCACCAGGCTAGCTTGATTTAATTCCTGAGCCACAACTGGGGAATGGCCAAAACTCTCAGAATGGATGGAAATACTGTGTCGGAGTTCAGATCAATGGATGATAGCCATGCGGTCGGGCGGGCTTCGGGTGAAGACCGACAAAGCGAATCGCCTCGGAAGCGCTACAGCAAGAAATATCATGTTGTACATCATGATGTGCGATATCATAGGATATCGTCTGCCTGAGGCTATCGGACCGTTTTATATTCTTCCAGGCGCTTAGGTTGATTGGGTGGGGAAGAAAGATCATGTGGGGTGATGTCCGAACCCCAGTCGAACCGGAGATACGAGAAGTATTACAAAATTGCAAAGCTAGCTTGCATATCAAGGACAAACAGGAAAGTACGGTATGATATAAAAGGCACTTGTTTTGTTTGCTGTCTGCCGCGGACATGTCGAGAACAGCGAGGAAGGAGGTTGCGAGGGCCAGCACGTGTTGCTGAAGCGGAGGGGAGGGGGCGGTCCGGTGGTAACTCTACAAGTATACATAGTGTGAGAAATATTGGGCACCAAGTTAGCTAGTAAGTTACATAGTAATAGCGGGTAAGAGCATCGAGAGCCTTAAATAGATCAGAGAACAAGCACCCGCAACTAGGAAGTGTTGTTACAAGTAATCCAGCAGGGAAAACAAAAAAGGTGCCCCATTGACTCTAGTTGCGCCCGAGCAGGAGACAAATATGGTACTGAATGATTGTTAAAATAGCCCACATTTGTGGGTAGTCGATTGCTCGGGTTGATTATTAGGAAGACTTGAAAGCAATGAATATATATTACCTGTGGGGGAAGGACAAAGGAAAAAGTTGCACAGAGGTTATGAACTGGAAGAGGAAGTCGCGTTACCAATTTCAAAGTTTATGATAATCATGTTGATGAACAACACAGACTTGGAACACAGCCTCATTTGCGGACGGAGCTCAACTGCCTACTCATGGTGGAGGAGGGGTGATTGAGGTAATTAATAATTTCAGTGCACATGCAAGGGAGTCAGATAAACTCTGGAAGGGTATGTATGTACAGTTGATCTGACCCTCCCCCCCGCGTGTCTTATCAACATTATCGATAGGATGGATAAGTAAGCGTTGGGTGATGCGGAGGGGTAAAGAGGCACTGATGAAGTCATCCGCGACTTCTCTCAATCGGTACGGGGGCCTTCAGTCACGGGTCTTGTATTATTATTGCCTTACCGTATACAGTGGGAGGAAATGAGTTTGCACCCCCCCCGTTTGGTCAGATGCCGCGCTAACTTGTCACCGCCTTCTTACTCCAATCACCGCACAGATAATGAAGGAAAGAATTGGCGATTCTGCTGGCAGAATCGCGGCTACACTATTATCAGATAGGCTAGCGGACGAACTATTGCAGGGGAGGGGGGTGCAAACTCATTGCCAGGGACTGTACCACGCTAAAAATATATTACATGTTACAACGAGACTACTCAATGATCGGGTTCTGGAAATCCCAAATACGCCTTGACATGCGGTGAGAGCAGCCTGGCTAGTTATTCAAATAGGACCGGCAATTTTGAAGGGAAAGATGAATGGAAAGACAGTACGGAGTAATGAGACTGGGTATAAGGGGTAGGGATATGGTGGCCTACATTATCTCTGGCTCGCATTCTTTCGTTCTCTTTTTTTTTTTCATTATTCTTTATTATTCCCTCTCTCTATTTAGATCACACCCTGTACTAACTGGCCTGAAACTGGCCTGAGATGGATAGAACTGCATAGAGGCGGGGCGCGGCGACCGCAGAGAACCAGATTGTTGAAAATTACCGGTATGTATCGTATGATCCCCAGGGAATCTTGGGGTCACGCGTGACGCCCCCGGAGCTAAGCCTAAACCAGTCTGCCGTCAACAACAAACGACGCGACTTGCGCGTGCAAAGAGAAACATCGAGTCCCGCCCTGGGGATTTTGGCTGGTCGAGGAGCGAAGAACGAAGGAGTCTACCAACTTGGCCCGGTACCTGAACCATCCTTGTCCTGGTCAGGTCCTCCCTCTTTCTCTACCACTGCCTTCCTCCCTCCAACTAACCGCTCGCTCACTACCTACCGATCAACAACGTTGGCCTTCTCTTGCACTCTGCAATTTTTTTTTGAGATACCCAAAAATTTTTGTTCCCTTCCTTCTTGCTCTTGCTTACCATCCACATTTGTCCCTCTTCCTCCCTTCTCCCCCCCCCCACACCCAAACTTATCATCATCACCATCATCAAACGACTATCGGTTTTCCCCTCCAAAGTTAACTCGCGAACTTTCCTCCCCATAACGGTAACTTTTCGGACGATTGATTCATCATTATTGAAAGGCTGGCTCTGCATACCGCAACTTCTCCGGCCTATCGCCAGCCCCTCCCCTCCATTAGATTATCCATCCTTCCAACTCATCCTCATCCCTTCCTTCGTCTCGCCTTCTCCGACTTCGCGTGGCTATTTGATTCTTTTTTGGGGGCCCTCAATCGCCACCCCTTGCGCCCACGGTCCTCTCTGCAGCAGAAGCGCAGTCATCCAGGTTTTAAAGGAAGAAAGGGAGACGGAAGGGAGGTGAATCTTGCTGCTGGGGTTCCCTTCTCATCAAATCAGAACCAATCCTCTCACGTCCTGCGCTGCAACTCGCCTGCCTCTTTTTCGCGCATCGCTTGCAGCTGGTCGCACTGTCTTGGAATTCTTGTCGCGTCCGTCCTCGTTCCTGTCGCTCCTGCATCTTCGCGTCGCGCCTGCTTGTTTTGACGTCTGCTATCAATCTGAAACATTCCATAGAGGACTGTTTCGTCTCAAGCGCAGCAACGTACTGCGCAGGCCTTAAATACATTGTGTGCGTGGTCTGCGTGTCTGATTCTGACGCGTGGCCCCGTGCCTGAGATCGCGAAGGAGGCTGATTGTTTTTCTTCAACCACACTCTACGACCATCGACATACGCACGGGGGAGTTGCTCTTCTTTGGGGGTGTATGGAGGCTTCTACAAGCGCTCTCGAAGCCCCCGCGGTCTCGACCTAAGCTGCTGATGTTCATTCATCCGTCGTGTCGCATCGAAAACACGTATCTCGCAGACCCAACCACTGGTACAGCGCCTTACCTCTCAAACATTCCACTACAAACAATATCTGCGTTGATAACTGGCTTAGTCGGGGCAGATCGCACCGCCACAGGATAATTCCCGAGGCTGTTGGCTGTTGTGAAAGTCTGTCACGACTTGGAGAGCCTGGAAAGCCTGCCTTGATCGTCGATCTGTGACTTGGCAGATTCACACTTTGCAGACCATCTCGAACTCTGTCTGGCCCGCTTCCAAATCCTACGTGGAGTACTCAAAGGCCTGATTCCTCGATCTGACAATCATATACACCATTATGGTAGCGACCTTCTCGCCGCACCGCGATGCGGGTGGCACATTGCATCTGCCATCTCATACTGGTATTCACCATATGGACGCTAATACGGCCATTCGACAATTACGCCGGTCACTATCGCGCTCGCCTTCCAAGAACTCAAACTTCTCACTGCTGGCACCTCGACATCATTCCCCGTCGAAGACAGCTCCATTCATCTCCTCACCTTTGTCACCTTCCCGACGATCCGCACAGAGCAACTTTGTACTCTTCCCTAGCTCATCTCATCAATCACCATTCGCCGTACCTTATCCCCCAAGCGCCAAAATAACGAGGCCTATCATGCGTCGCGTGCGCACATCCCCGAGAAGTCCCGTCAAACGCGCATTGAATATCTCCACTGATCACGGAAATGCGAAGCCTGCACAATCAACACCAACAACGCCGGGTGTGGAAAATTCTCCCACTACCCCTGGGCTCGTTCTTCCGTCTCATGACAGCACCGCAGTCGATGCGCATTCTAGTGACACGCCCATATGTCTAGAACCTACACTGGCACCTCGGCAAGCAAATTCCCGCATCGAGAAGCGACGGAGCGGGACATTTGCTTCGTACGCTGCCGTCAGCCCACTGAAACGCAGCGACGGAATCATGAATCTGGACCGGGCATCTCGCGGTAGCCCTTCCGCAAAAAGACGCAGCGTTCAGGCCACGAGTCTGTCGAGCGAGTTTAGCATCTTTGATAATGAAGATGTTTCACAGATTGAAGAAGATCCTGCGGTCGAATCGTCCCCCGAGTCCACCACGCCGCCCTTCCCAACCCATGCCACTGCATTTAGCCCTTTCGCTACAATTCCTAAACGATCATCGTCTCTTCGGAGATCTACCCTTCAGCAGCGACAAAGCGATCGCTCCCTAAATCCTGTGCGGCCCCGCATGTCTCTGGATAACAATCTTTTCCAATCTCATCGAGAGAGTCCATTTGCCTCTCGAAGTGTGTCTGGCAGTTCCCTGTTCTCATCAACAGGAGGTATTGCCGGACAAGCTCGTCCTGCTGCTCATCCGCTTTCAAGGACCATCACGCAATCTTCTTCTGGTTCCAGCTTGGTTGACGACTCTCCGACCCATGAACCTATCCACAAGGCCGACCGTCCAAGGGGGGTCTTTGATTTCTCCAAGTCTCTTCCTGCGGGAAGCGCGCGGCCTGTGCCATTACGACATCTCACTCGGGAGGATTCGACATCGTCCATTGACTCGTTTGCAACGCCGGAGAATTACAAGCTAGTCAAACCTCTTCCGGCTGCTTTCATGTCCACGGGTCTCATTTCAAAAAAGAATCGCAATGCAGAAGACCCTCAGAGTGGTCTCGGATTC